TGGTCTCAATACACACATATTAATTAGGCAATTTGCATAATAATTAGGTTTAGCTGTTTTTAATCAGTCTGTGATGCAGCATGACTCTGCGTACATCAAGATCAAGTTTAGTGACATTGAATAAACACCAACAAATATTGAATTGACATAGGAGCACATACTTTCTATAATTACGAGTTTGGAAACTATTAATGTCTATCAGATTCAAAACACGTTCATATTTTATTTACAGGATCTCGATTCCAAGATTTTTGACTGAAAAAGGATGTAAAGATGAAGGAGTACAGTTAGTAGGGAAGATGGAAATGTTGGCACTGGGGGCAAAGTAAGTGGGTCAGTGATGCTGCATTGAAATGAGGGATTTTTTTTACACGATGCCAGCCATGCCATGCCATGCCCAGGATGTGATTAGAAATGAACTTCCTATGTTTACACAGTCATTACAATAGACCATTTTCCGTTCACTGCGAAAATCACACGTTATGCGTGAAATCGAACGTAAAAACAGGACAAACAAAGATCATAGTGGCGTCAAACATCGCGTGGGATTCGACAAACGCGTATTTTGGGGGACATTTCCATGCTTAATAATGTGCTGTCCACATTTGATGATAGACAATTTTGATTAAGTAAGGGTATTCGGAAACAATATTTCTCTGTCGAAGATCGGCCGGTCGATGTGAGTTACGAAATAAAGAAATTCTAGTTTAAAATCAAATCGTTCGATTTTTGCGGCAGACGTTCGAAGCGCATTTTTCATATATCTCGTGAGATCTCGCAATTGTACGGAAAATCCCTTATTACATGAAGGCAAAATTCTATGTTCTAGGCATCCTAGTTATTTTGGGTTGTCAATGTTGTCATCTTAGGTTCAAACTATTTCTTGAGGTCACACTAATTCAAATTGTTTTTATCTGGTCTTTGCTATTTTATTAACCAGTATTGTGTTATCCAGATGTCTGCCTGCTCCATTATTTATGAACAGAATGTGATTATTTCAGAGCATAAGGGATCGTGTATACCCTATTAACCCATTGAGTACCAGACATTTTCCAATCCAAAATTCAGTGTAAATATTTTCATATTTTGAAATTTTCAATAAATTTTATCATTTTGGTCCATATGAACAGTTTCAGATATTGCTTTTAGTTCTTTAATCAAAAAGATTGTCAATTTATATCAACATTTCATTTAGTAAGAAGCAGACTACAACAATGATGCATATTTGTTCTATGTAGTGAAAAGATTGGAAAACATTTTGTGACAAGTGTGATGCACCATCAGTGGTGGGAATGAGAAATGTTCTTGCCAGTTTTGGTATTGCAGGTTTAGGTTAGGTACCAAACTGTACACTTTATGGCTAGTAGATTAAATAGGGTGATTTACCTATTCCATCAAGTTTAGA